CCCCAAAACCCCAAAACCCCAAAACCCCAAGATCCCTTGCTCTTGAGATCTTAAGTGAACATTGAATATTAATCTAAACTAAATTTCAATTAATCTTTTAGTTAGGTAAGGTTTTACTACTGCCTGCCAAGGATTTGTAGTTTCTACTACCAATAAAACTACTATTATCTCCGTCTGGATCTACATTATGTTTTCCTAAGCCTCTTTCTCCTCTTGGGAATAATATATGCGGGCAAAACCTTACTACTCTGAATGGAGGTCTATTTCTATAAGCAAGAAATACATTGTAGTAAATTGCTAGAAGTGTGATAACCATAACTAAAACTAGGAAAATAGATAGGATAAACGTTTGATATGGCTTAAGTGTAGGCTAAGCACTTTCGAACTTCAGAATATCTACATATATCTAGCATCCCTTACATTAATTACTATCAATGCCTATAATAAAATTACTATAAGATTTAGGACATACTGTTGTAAAATGTGCAGAGATTCTTAGCATAATCATTTGTTAAATCAATAGGAATAGTCAACTCTGTAAAAGGTGACAACTCTTCACCTCTCCAACATTCCAAAACACCACAGGCCATTGAGCACTCAATTATGTTGAGGCAAGCTGATGCCTTGAATGGTGTGCACTACATCAACTAGTCACTGTTTAAAAATCCATTGCAAGACTTATCCTCTATACAAATTGATTAGCATTGAAATAGTATTCTAGCTTATTACCTGATAGCAAGTTTAAATGAATTTTTATGGCTGCTTAATCATCCTAGCTTGTAGCTTCATTTGGAATAATGTATAAATAAGCATCCTCCATACAGTTTTTAATTGTTTAATTTAGTGTCACGAAAGGAACTTATTGTAAATTGTACTCTTGACAGTAGGAATTCTTGGGTGCTGAATTACAGCTGGTATCTGATTCCTTCTACTTGTATGATGAGATTATGATCTTATTAATGTTCTGAATCTCTGAAAACTCTGAGTAATATTGATGAAAATTTATCTATACTCTTATTCTGATGGGTAATTTACATCAAAGGATAAAGCCTTTACTGAAGGACTGTTCATTGTTAGCTAGACAGTGTCACTCAGAGTTCTCTTTTCATAGTAATAGGCATTAACAAAAGTAAGAGTGCAAAGTCCAAATATGATTAAATTGTTTCTGAATTTTTCCATTGAAAACTATGTTTAATTATATCAAAATATTGTTCTTAATCTTATTAATTTGATAAACTCGGGGTTTTGGGGTTTTGGGGTTTTGGGG